AGAGAGAGAGAGAGAGAGAGAGAGAGAGAGAGAGAGAGAGAGAGAGAGAGAGAGGGAAAGAGAGGGAAAGAGACGGGGGAGGTGGAGACATTATCTCTCTTGTTACCGGTTACGTCACAAAGCGCTGACGTCGTTCATTAAACATTGACGTCAAATAATATCTGATCTCGACGCTGGCAATTATGCGCCTTCGAGCGTTCCGGCATTGATTGAAAGAACTGACGGCGGATGAGCGATCGGGCATTACCCTTCCGCGGCAAGGAGGAACACGCTTGTTGCGCCGTTCTTCCGGTTTTACGTAGCGTCCAATTTCCTGCGCGCCCGTCAATTTAAAAAGCCGGCTCTATCCACAAGCGTTTGCGAGCGTTTGTCTCGTCGGCGTACAAATCGTTCTGTCCCGAGTCGAAATTTCAGCCTTTCGACCTGAATTTTCTAATATATTCTATATATTCCACAGGATCAGTGTACGTTTAATATAGTAGAGGTCCTATTTAGCGTCTGTAAATGGCAGAAGACGCACAAGATGCGACTCGTAGGTTTTAAATAAAAGAACTTTTCGTCACAAAGTTAGCAGATTAAGTAGAGTGAAAATGTTGATATAATTTTCGGAGTATCAAAGTAGGCGTTAAATGGGATATGACGTCGAAAATAGAATCCAAATTTCGACGCGGGTTTAGCCTCGCATGTATACGGAGCGAAACCGGAACGGCGCTCGGAAATTATTATCCCGCGGATCCGGGCAGGATTAAAACGCGATAAGACGTGTGCAACTAGAACGCTCTGACGCGTTAATATCCCTCGAGAACAACGCGCGCGCAGATTTCGCGCGTACCACTGATGGGCGTGTTTTTTACGTCAGACTGCATTTGCACGGAAGACGCGATACAATTCACAGTGTTTGATATTATTCCGGATTACGACGTGATAATAATAATTTTGGAATTAAAAGAGACGCGCAAATCACTAACCCTTTATGGTCCGAATTGCTTTCAATTCTTCTTCTCAATCGATCCGTAAAAATTCATTTACTTCGCAACAATATCGCATGGGTTTGCGTTTAATCTCAATATTTCAGCATTTATAACCCTTTCAATTTCGACCTTTTATTTTGGAAGTTTAATGTTATTTGCAATAAAGAGTTTCAAAAGTTTGACTTGAAAAGTGGTTTCTCTTTTAGCAGAGAAAAAATTCAATTATGGAAAATTGAAGAAAACTGATAAAAATTCTGTTATTTTCTTGGGACAAAAATATCATTAAATAGCTCTAAAAGAGCTCTATTAAACAATGTATATAAGAGAAATATCAATCAAAATATTTTTTTTTATTTTTACAGATATGTATCGTATCTTTAAGGATACGTCATACTGTAACTCAAAAGGTTAACTAATACAATGATAAATTTACGATAATATTTGTACTGTGAGTGTATATTTATATATACAGAGTGTACACTCTATTAAGGGTTCTATGTAGTTGTAGGCATGAATTAAAGGAGTTTCTTTGGAATTGTTTTTACAAGGAATTTTGAAACACATATTTCTTAATTTTTCAATATGTTTTAATTATGCTTTAAGGAAGTTACATGTTTTTACATGTACATGTTTACATGTTTTTTTCATAATTACAATCTGTTTTTCGATATTTCGCCATTTCATCAAATCTTTATTTAGTCTATGATCGAATAATTCCAGTTCAGACGATAGCCACACTCATATCATATAAGAATCTTGTTTGCTTTTTCTGTTACAGTTCACTACAAGCGGTTAAATCATGTACGCCAGTAGGACATGAGTGTATTGCGTCACGCTGTATAACTCAACTAATATACGTGTTTCAATTACAGAAAAAAATCATGTAATTTTCTCAAAACCTTAATAAAAACATAATAAAGAATTCAAAAATGTGTATCTTACAATTTCCTTGTGAAAACATTCCAAAGAAGCTCCTCTAATTCATGCCTACAAATTACCCAGAACCCTTAATGAACAAAAAGTCGGTTTATAGAATTGCAATGAAACGCGAGGTAGACTCGACATACACTGAGAAGAAAAAATGGTAGGTCTAATTACAAGTATAGTTATTTTGGCCCTGACCATATCTTTAGTTCTTCCAACAAGAGAATAGTAGTAGTAACATGCACATAAAATGATGACCACTAACATTATAATAGAATTCAATAAAAAATAATGTTCTCGATCATCTATAGCAATTATTTCTCTATGTAATTATAGTTACAAATATTAAATATTTTTTTTCTCAGATCGCAAGGGATTCGAAAAAGCATTTGTTATTACACACAGCAAAATTTTACGGAGATGTTCGCTCAAACGGGAAGCCTCGGTAATGATTGATTCGACGCGCATTAAGAAAGTTAGGCAGATCAATAAAGGTTGAAAGCAGACGGCGCGCGGCTCTCCTCGCCAATCATAGATCCGCCATAGCTCATGAAATATCTAATGCAAGAGAGAGAGACGGTAGTATAGAGAGATACGACAACGCCGCGACGTCGATATAATCGCGACCAGTCGCGCCAAGTTGCATCGAACTATGCCAGGAGATAATTTCCATCGACAATATTTACACATTTCCGAAGAACTTCTCCGTCCGCCACGAACTTTGTCACGTCGATTAACCTTAGAATCCTAAGCACCAAACAGTTACACTCTAAACGTGAGTAAATTTGACCCAACGTATCTTCATTTGCTCATAACTTTCGTAAAAATGATAAAAAGTCTGTTATTTCTTTTTTATCGGTTTAGAAAACATTGAAGGATATTAATCTATTAATATTTTTGCGATTTAGTGAAATTAGAAAAAGTTATAGTGGCACAACAAAACACATTTTCATGACGTTTAGGGGAAAGTTAATCTGGGTAAATTTTATCAGATTTAGAGTTCTCAGTGTCCGTGCGATTCCCTTTCGGGCCGCGATTGGTATCGTTTCTCCATCGTATGTCCAGTAGCTTTTTGTTTGTCACTGCGATTTTTAGCCAGTCATATATAATTTTGAGCAGATAACGCGCTGAACGAGTCGATTGATGTAGTAAGCTAGTCGATAAAACTTCAAAGTATTCGAATTGTTTATCACGAGTCAGTATGTCTCATGACAAAGATGACGACTAGTTTCTTGAGCAAGTTTCTGGAGTAAGCTCCTTGTATCTTCACGACCGCAAGTGAAATGTACTTCTCTTATCCTTTGGTTATATCTCTGACACCGGTATCCGTCACGCCATCACTCGGGCTGAATATGCAAAGTCAATCAGGGCGAGTAGAACGGCTAATTACCCGTTGATTTCTCCCATCACCTATTTTCGCGTCTACCGCGTAATAGCGTTATTTTTATAGTGACTCAATTTTAGCAGCAATATCGTCGTATTTTTCCTCAAGACACGTGTACACTGAATACTATATTAAGTATATTAAGTATTTTGCTTAAGAATCTGCTAGGAAACCCGCAGCAATGTTTTTCGTCTGACAGGAATCGTTCCATGACTTCAGAATTAAGTGTCTGACGTCGTTTTAAGTTACGCCATCGTGTTTTTCGCTTAAAAATCTACATCGTTTGCGAAATATTCAATTCAAACTATTGACACGTTCACACTCTGTGCTACACAGATTGTTATTGTAAAATTTTAGCAAAATGTAAGCAATTTCGATGTAAGCCTTGAGAACGTGATTTCACTGTCTGCTGACTAAACAGCAGGAAGTTTAATTTCGCCCTACCCGTTGTCAATGTTTCAATATATACAATTGTTCATTAACAGTTCAGATTTCAAATATTTCTAAAGATACCGTGAGAAAAGGCTTGAGGAAGCATCGAGCGATTCGAAAACACCCGGTGTTCGACACGTGTTCGCGCACGTTCTGCTCACCCTCGCCGAGAGGAAGCGTCAAGTTAAGGTATACAAAGTTGCGACTTACCAAGCAGCAGGAGCTTGATGTCCTTGGCCGCCTGGATACCATCTTCCTTGAGATTCTTCTCGATCTGCTTGCTACGAGCTAAGGCGGCTCGTTCTTCCGCGGACATGGCGCAGCCCATCTTGTTACACGTTGCCTTCACAAACGCCACCTCTACGCTTTTCTCACCTGATGAACAGCGCGGCCGGCAGGGAGCGGCCCCGTCGCCCGCACAAAGATGAGATCTCGCGCAGCACTTCCTCCGCGCCTTCTTCTGAACCCCGTCCTCCACTTCGTTCGCAGTCGTGGCCGTTGTCGCCACCACAACCAACAGCAGCGACAGCAGCAGCAGCAGTACCTCTACCAACACCAATACCACCACCAACACCACTACCACCGCAAACACTTTCGCCGCTGCCACTAACACAACAACCACCCTCGCCGGCACCGTTTCCACCACTGCTACTTCTTCTTTTTCCTCCTTCTCCTCGTCCTCCACCACCTCCACCACTATCACCACCGTCTCCTCCTCCTCCTCCTCCACTACCACCACAACCACCGCCACCACTACCACCACTGCCGCCGTCCTCCTCTTCGTCCTCGTTTTCTTCTTCTTCGTTTTCGTCGTCTTCGCAGTCTTCGTCACCGATGCTTCCGCACCGTCGTCGACTACCGCCGGCAACCGGCACTACCACCGGCTGCCCTAACTACTTGGGCGACCGCAGCCACCCGCACGCACCCCCGACGGCCGCCACACTTGCGCCGATTTAGTCTTGCGCGTCTGCTGCGCCTGAAAAAGGAACAGAAGGAGTTCGTCAATGAAGCGGTAGAGTCTGGATCTTGTAATTCTGACTTTGACGCGCGACGTGGGTTTGATTATTAGCTTCGGAGAGTCGCCCGAATCAATCGCGATGTTCAAGTGATCGATGTTGCTAACGGACACACTTGGACCACGTAAAAATAATCGACTCGTTGCTGCGCAAGGTGGATCGTTAATTATTAGCAGCAGGAATATCTCCGAAACCGTAGGAGTTGGAGAAAAATTGCCGCTGCAGGGGTTTTTTCTACAAAAGAGCTCTAGCTTCCGATATATAAAAGCTCTACGGGGGAGAAGAACGATCACGTAATATTTTTCATAAGTGGAGTCGCTGTAGGTGGAGTTTCCCTCGAACACCCACAATTTCCAAGATATTCAATACATTGATAATGATCAGTTCACCCTAACGACCACGATATATCTTGTTAGTAAAAACAAAAAATCAATCTGATTATAATATATAAAGTTAGTTCTAATCAATATTTTTCGATTATAGCTAGTTTAGTCTCGAATATGTTGAGACGTTAAAAATACTCTCTTTCTGCCTGAACAACTCGATTCAAATTTTACATTAGACCAAGCATGCATTATCATATTTCTTTATTTTTCTCTCTCTCTTTCTTTCTCTCTCACACAATGTGAGAGTCGTGAGAAACGTGAGTCCTCAAAATGACAGTTGATTCCATGTTGCTGTCATACATCTGTTTGAGTCATCTCTGTTGACGTGTCGTCATCTTGCAAAGATTCCGTTCTAAGAAATGCGCGTGTACACGGGCTGCTCATCGTCGTCATTGTCGCGGGGACGCGTTAAGATAATCGATTATGTGTAATAGAGTCCGGATTAGATCACCGATACCGGCGTTATTTAACCAATCCTCGCCTCGTCAAGCGTGTACACCAGCGAGTGTAAAGAGGAGACGGACGACACTCGTTTTCGCTCTCTTCCAGCGTGTATACGACCTCGACTTGGCAGATTGCCCGCGTTTGATACACCCAAAGGTTCTCGACCAATCGCGCTGATAACGTCATTCGTCGCGTCTCGTTATTATTCCTCTCTTCGCAAAGAGAGAGAGAGAAAGAGAGAGAGAGAGAGAGAGAGAGAGAGAGAGAAAGAAAAAGAAAGAAAGAAAGAGGGAAAGAAGAGAAAGAGAGAGAGAGAGAGAGGGGGGGGAAGAGAACCGGATAATAGTTTTATTAGGCCGGCTCATCGTGACCGCTCGATGCGACTTAAGAGCATCACCGAACACGAATCTGATCTAATGCTATTAATCGTAGATGAGACACGGAGCTCGATAATTATAGAAGTCGTCGAATCAGTAAAATGGATTGCACAATTCGCGTAATGCATACGGAAAGAGAATGTTATATAGTTATTCTCTCGTATATAAATTCTTTTCAATTTTACCAAGGTTCCAGCAGTGCAGAAACAGACTATCAGTAGAGTTCATCATGTTAAGAAACATAAATTTGTAAGTAGTAGATAGCAATTAACAGCACACAGTACACAAATTCTTAAAATATAAGCGACATATCAAACGGAAAGATAACAAACCAAGGCAGTATGTCGATATATGTCCTGTTTACAAAATTCTCTCACTTCTCAAGAGTCATTGATTTCTTTATTATTTTCTGTATTATTTCTTGTTTCCTGATACGAAAGAAAAATCATAAATATATTTACTTTCTAATCTCAGTAAGTTGAACGAAATTGGAAAATACTGAAATATGAATTTGGCAGGTAAAATTTCATATCACGCAAACGCGTCGCGGAAAGCTCCTTGTTTCGGTTAGATGCGATAGTAGAATAGGTTTACGTTTAGTCAGCCTAGCCGCGACGCATCTCGCAGAAAGGTCGGCGTCGGAAAGAGGGTATTACGATGAAATAGGAATCAAATTGCCGGCCTCTTGATGGCTATTTGAGAAAACGCAATCCAACCTACTCCAGAATCACTGACAATAAACTTAATTTAACCAGAATTCTATGAGAGAACAGCAATGCTGAAACAACATTGTTGACAGTAGCAGAAAATTTCGGTGGCGATCTGTGACGCGAACTTAGGTAATCAGACGTGGTTCGATAGAAGAAACTGAATTTCCCGAATATTAACACGTAGTATTTAACCCCAAAAAATCTCGCAAAACGCGCGTCCAAAGCGCGTCTAAAATAACAATATATATAATAACCCTAATTTTAAGCCTTATAATAACAATAAGGTATTTAACCACAAATGCGACGTCTTGGCGAGATTAATTAATCTCCCGGCGCGTGCGGATAATTTGAATGCAACGAATTCCAGAAACAATTTTCGCGGAAACAGTGATGGCAACGCGAGAAATAATGACGAATCTCAATCAAAATGAGTTCAAGTCAATTAGTAGATCACATTAGACTAACCATTAGGGATCTATAAATAATCAAATATTTGTAAGACTCGTTCTTATTAGTTTCTATTTGAGCTGTGTAGTACATGAACAATATAATAATAACTTTCTTATTGTAGTATTTGCGGGCGAAAGAGATATTTAACTTATTATATCATTCATTAAAAAACAAAAACCTCGTTTCCATATGTAGACTTTTAATTTTAAATATATTTTATTTCTAAGTACTTGATTACTTATGGGCATTCTTAATGTTAAATCGCGAGATATTTCGTCATCAAATCAAAGTCGAGAACTCGAGCTTCGCAGCTTTGAGAGAGAACTGAAAGAAGAATGCTTCGTATTTATAACTACGTATAATCACATAGATAAATTATGACAAAAGCAAAACCATTTCCTCTTATTAAATTCCACTATAATGTTAATGATAATAAACTGCTGCTATGTGCACGCCGCTACTACGATTTTCGTGGTAGAACAAGCAAAGAATATGATTGGGCCAAACACATAACTATAGTTTTCGTTAGATCGATCATTTTTCCATCTCAGTGCGGGATATCGATAGCTGCGCTCCATCGGTACATCGCGTACACGGTTCGCACGTCGCAGGAGCACCGAGGGTTTCGCGTCTCGTCGCATTCTCTACACGGAGAATGCCGCGTGCTCGCTCACCATCGATTCCGGGGACAGCCGTGATACCGCCGTCGCGAATCGAACGCGTTGAAATTGTTCCGGTTTCGCCAGGTGAATTTTTAACCGGCGGGAAACCCACCGACGCGAGTGTCCCTCCATGGTTTATTCGTTTGTCGGATTGCACGTACGTCTCCTCGCAAGCACGGCATTACGTGGAAACTCGCCGTACGATCAATAAAATGCAACGACCTGATATAATGGAAGCGATACGCGTCGCGCTTCATAAAGTACCATCGCCGGCATAGTGAGACTAAAATACGGCGGGAGACGCATCGCGCGACAAAATTGGCGCGAGTCGCCGAGACTTCGATTTTATCGACCTCATCGCGGCTCTGCGGATCTACGGCCTCGTTTTTTTCTTTTCCCTCTATCTCCTCGCGGTTACCACAGAGGTGCTTGTCGCGATTCGCAACAAAGTGGCGCTCGCAGTTTGCGGCCAGACGCGCTTCTCGGCCGTTACGTCAAAGATATCCGGTAGGTTAATTAGGTCTGTTCTTTGCAGCTGCACTTTCTCAAACTGTCTGATCTTCCTAGTTCCCTCTCCCTCTTCCTCTCTCTTCTACCGAGTATTAAATATATATCTGCTCCATTTTTTAAGCGCAGACAGCGCAACTTGGTGCAGCTGTAAAAAACAGACTTGCTGTTCCGTCAGATTGACGATGCTTAAATCTTCTTTGATCGAGTTGCGACTATAGCGGAATACGGTCACGTTTTACGGTGAATTCACGGTGATTTTACCGTTGGCATGACTCCGAATTAATCTTCGTTTGCGCTTAACAGCGATTTTCGTTAAATGATTTCTGTCAGTACAAGAAGATCGTACTAAGTTCGTTAAAGCCCGTGGTGGAGGAAAGATTTATTTAAAAAAATGTGTTTTAAGAACACTAAATTGTCCTTCTGCACCGCGGAGATTGAAATATCCCTCTCCATGACGTCCACGAAAACACGTCAGTCCACGTGAATGCCGCAATTTTACCGTGCATTGTAAAAACATATCGTACCGTTCGCGATAAACTCTGCGCAATGCGAGACAGCATATTGAGCCGCAAAGTGTAATCATTAAAATGTTGTTCACCTCTTCATCCCCGAAACCCGTTTTTCAGACGACATCCGTGATTCGCAGCGAAACGATAAGGAAACATTTTGAAAATTAAATCTGCACACTCGTGGATTTGTACGTTAATGCACCTAAAAATCTCTCTCCGAACATTTATCCTATCTCTATAATAAAATCTCTATAATTTATTATAAACGTTATAACACAAAGAAATCGGAAAATAAAATCTCTCTCGAGTTCCATCGTAAATTGCAGCTCCAAGTGGACCTGCGAGTACGACAGACGCGTCAGAAAATAATCGTAATCGCCGTTTCACGTTTACTGTTTCGACGCAATTTGGCAAAATGCCAGAAGAGAGAGAAATAATTGAATAACATGCAATAGTGCGGCACAGTACTCGCGCCCGGTCGACCCACCAACTGCCATCTTCTCCTTCAGCGAGGTACTCGTCGTGAGACGAATACATGTCGCAGTATTTCGGAGTCACCCCTCGCGGCCTCTCAAATTTTTGCCACCACCGTGAAACAGAATTATAGCAGTTAATGGGTGAATCGAGCGTCGACGTACTCCGAAAAAATTCCCGTTCTCTCACATACACACTCTCGCCCCCCCCCCCCCCC